GGTTTTGTTTTTTTTTTTCTCTATTGATTTTAGAGAGAGAAGAAGGGAGAGGGTGAGAGAGATGGAAACATCGACGAGAGAAAACATCAATTGGCCGCCTCCTGCATGTCTCCCTTGGGGATCTGGCCCACAGCCTGGGCAGGAATTGAACCAGCAACCTCTTGGTGCATGAGTCGATGCTCAACATCTGAGCCATACCAGCTGGACAGGTATTTGCTTTTTAAAAATCAAAGGAAGAGCCCTGGCTGGTTTGGCTCAGCGGTTAGAGCATTGGCCTGCGGTCCTGAGAGACCCGGGTTCGGTTCCCGCTAAGGGCACGTACCTCGGTTGCAGTTTGTCCCCGGCCCTGGTCGGTTGTGCGGGTGGCAGCCACTCGATGTGTTCCTTTCACGTCAATGTTTCTCTCTCTCTCTCTCTGTTCCTCTCTCTCCCTCCCACTCTACCTGAACAAAAAAATGGAAAACTGTCCTCGGGTGAGGAAAAAAAATAAATAAATAAATAAAAATCAAAGGAAGAGCCCTAGCCGGTTTGGCTCAGCGGTAGAGCGTCAGCCCATGGACCAAGGAGTCTCCGGTTTGATTCCAGCCAAGGGCGCGAACCTCAGGGCCTCATCCTTGGCCCTGGTCGGGGTTGTGCAGGAGGCAACCAGTCTATGTGTCCCTCTCATGTTGATGTTTCTCTCTCCCTCCCACTCTATCTGAAGATAAATGGGGAAATATCCTCCGGTGAGGATTAAATATTAAATTAAAATTAAAATCAGAGGAAGAGCCTGGCTGGAGTGGCTCAGTGGATTGAGGGGTCCTGGTTGGATTCCAGGTCAGGGCACACCCCGGGGGTTGTGGGCTCAATCCCCAGTGGGGAGCGTGCAGGAGGCAGCCAATTGATGTTTCTCTCTCTCTCTAAAAAAATCAATAAAAACCTATTTTAAAAAATCAGAGGAAGAGCCCTGGCCGGTTTGGCTCAGCAGTTAGAGCGTTGGCCTGCGGTCCAGAGAGACCCAGGTTTGGTTCCCGCCCAGGGCACGTGCCTCGGTTGCAGTTTGTCCTGGGCCCCGGTTGGGGTCATGTGGGTGGCAACCACTTGATATGTCTCTCTCACATCGATGTTTCTCTCTCTCGTCCTCCTCTCTTCCTCTCTATCTGAAGATAAATGCAAAAAGTATCCTCGGGTGAGGATAAAAAAATTTTTTTTAAATCAGAGGAAGATGGGGGAGAGGGGTATCAGTGGGGGGGGGGGGAGGAGAAACATCTGTAACAAAAATAATTAATTAAATTTAAAAAAAGGTTATAAAAAAATCAGAGAAAGAGAAGAAGAGTAAAGAATATATGTCAAAATGTCAATAATTATTGAATGTCAGGGGTTCATTTTACCATTCACTCAGGGTGGTTCATTACAGCGTTCTGTCAATGTTGGTGTTGTCAATAATTTTTATAATAGAAAAGTTAAATATTTATTTTTGAAGAGCAGGAGCATCATTTTATGGAATCACGGGGAAGGAACCGTCCCTGCCAGCAGCATTCCCACTTAGGCGGAGAACAGGCAGCCCCTGTCCTTAGCCAAGCGGAGAGTGAGCCAAGGTGCCAGGTTGGGCAAAGTCATTGGTCACATGGATTGATGTCTACTTTGTTTGCAGGGCTTTTGCTTGTCGCCTTTGGAGAGATGGGCTTCACACAGAGGCTCAGAGGACTTAGCAGGAGAGGAGAGAAAGCTGGTGGATAACTAACACCCCACCCCCACCTCCTCTCACCACCAGTCCCACCCCCACCTCCTCACCTTCCCCACCCCCACTCGCCCCAAGGAAACAGACACAGGTACCCCAATAGGGGAACAGCTAGGCCTCAGACACTCAAACAGGTTTTCAGGGCTTGTGGTCCCCACCCCCTCAAGTTCATTGCATTTCTTCTGCCACCTCTATTTCATCCATAAAGAGGAGGCAAGATCAGAACAGGCCAAAACCAAGGTCTCCCAATCACTCTGTACTTAATCTCAGGCCTGTTGCCCTTGATCTTGATTGGTTTGTTCCAAATTCCGTCCACTTCTCACCACCACACACAGGTAACGACTTTTATTGGTTTCCTTCCGGAGTTTCTTTCCGTAAGTACAAGCAAATACAAATATACATTCTCCAACTATGTTTTCAATAGGCTTAAAATGAACAGCAAAGCAAATTCAAAATACAGAAAGTTACAGTGTTTAGGTAAAGAGTGAAATTAAGTCTGGAAATTGTTAGCAGTAGACAAGCTCTAAAACCAAGGGAGTGGAAGAGAGAGGAGGTAAAAAGAACCACCTTTTTAGAGTCAGCTGAAGGAAAAACATAAAGAAGCACAAGGAAAAATTGAGAGTGAATATTTTAAGAAGAAAGTAATTAGTCAATTGTGTTACCTGATCCTAAGATGTGAATAGATCTGCAGGAACCAACCTGGAAAGGTGGCCCATTTAAAGAGGAAACTCAGAGTAAAATAAATCTATTATCCCACTTAAGCAAAAATCTAACTGAAATTATATATGCTTATAAAAGCCTGGAAGACTTTTAAATAGAACAAACTCACCCGGAACCCCGCTGAGTGGTGAGCGGGGGTTTGTGGAAAGAGAAGGCTTCTTACTCTGGACACCAGTTTTGTTTGCATTTTTTACCACAAGAATGCATTCTTTTGTAAATAAAAAAGATTTGTAAAAGGAGGGAAACTACTGTTTAAGACCATCTGCATGCAAAATCTCTGAGGCTGTAGAAAACGGTGGTTAAGAGAGCTAGCTTCAGAATCTAATAAACATAAGTTTAACCACCCCCCTCTATTCCATGAACCAATTAACCTGAGACTCAGTTTCCTCATCTGTGCAATGGTGATTATAATGTAACCACCTCATAGGATTATGATAAGGATTTTTTTTCTTTATTGATTTTTATTTTTTATTATTTTTAAAATTTTTTTTCTTTCTCTCTCTCTCTTTATTTATTTATTTATTTATTTATTTATTTATTTATTTTTATCCTCACCCGAGGACATTTTTCCATATTTTGTTCAGATAGAGTGGGAGGGAGAGAGAGAGAGAAACATCCACGTGAAAGGAACACATCGAGTGGCTGCCACCCACATGACCAACCAGGGCCGGGGACAAACTGCAACCGAGGTACGTGCCCTTAGGGGACACCGAACCCGGGTCTCTCCAGACCGCAGGCCAATGCTCTAACCGCTGAGCAAAACCGGCCAGGGCTATTCATTTTAGAGAGAGAGGAAGGGAGAGGGAGATAAAGCCGGAAACATCAATGAGAGAGAACATTCACTGGCCGCCTCCTGCATGCCCTCTGCTGGGGATCAGGCCCACAACCTGGGCATGTGCCCTGACTAGGAATCGAACCGGGGGCCTCTTGGTGCATGGGTCAATGCTCAACCACTGAGCCACACTGGCAGGGCAGATTATGATAAGGACTAAATAAGGCAATAGAAGCAAAGCATTTAGTACAGTGACTGCCATACAGAAAAGTCTCAATCTTTAACATAGTTATTACTAGCTTAAACCAGTTATCCAAAGACGTACATTATTTTGGTTCCTCTAGAAATGCTGTCACTGCCATGCTTATTCTGTGTCCTGCTTTGAACCTCTGCTGAGAGTCATTATGAGAAATGGTGATGTGAAGTCAGTTACTGTTATCTGTTGTCAGGATCCAGTTCATAGAACCACCCACTGTACCAGGGAACTCAGGAGGGACCTGCAGCTTCCAGAGACAGTATGTGAGGATCCTCAGCAGAATTTTCACGAGTATTTACACTTTCTCTCATACTTTTCTTCTTTTTATTTATTTATTTTTTATTGAAATAAGGGAGAGAGAGAGAGAAACATTGATGAGAGAGAACATCAATTGGCTGCCTCCTGCATGCCCCCCACTGGGGATTTGGCCCACAATCTGGGCATGTGTCCTGACCAGGAATCAAACCGGTGACCTCTTGGTACATAGGTCAATGCTCAACCACTGAGCCACACAGGTCAGGCCTCTCATACTGTTCAATTTCTATTTTTGTGGATTACAATGCACTTAATATATTATTTCATCTGTGCCTATGTATAGTTTATCAACAAATATGCCTATACTGAGAAGTTTAACAAATTTCACCCATGGAATATTAACCATGGAAATTTGGAAAACAGTATCTTCTTTATGAGTTCTTTCAGATTTAAGGTCACAAAGAACTGCATTTCTCCCAAGCAATAGGCTAATTGTTGCTAATGAATATGATCACTTCTGTCATTGAATGCCTTTCCTTCTTGGCCTTGGCTGTTGGGAACCTCAGAGCCAAATTCATAACCCAGCTCTGTGTCCAGAATGCCTGTGGTTGCCATCCTGAGGGCTACGGTTATGAGCACAGCTTCTGGAACCACACTGCCTGGGTTTGAATCCCACTTACTACCTGGTAAGTGTGAACTCTGTGCTTCAGTTTCCTTAAATGTAACAGGAAAGTTTATAATTTTTTTTTTATCCTCACCTGAGGACATTTTTGATATTTTGTTCAGATAGAGTGGGAGGGAGAGAAAGAGAGAGAGAGAAATATCGATGTGAAAGGGACACGTTGAGTGGTTGCCACCCGCTCGACCCAACCAGAGATGGGGACAAACTGCAACCGAGGTACGTGCCCTTAGCGGGTCTTCCTGGACCGCAGGCCAACGCTCTAACTGCTGAGCCAAACCGGCCAGGGCTTGGTTGATTCTTATATCTGCCCTGACTGGGGATCAAACCTGCAACCTTGGTGTATTGAGTTGATGCTCTAACCAACTGAGATACTAAGCCAGGGCTAAAATGATTATTTTAACAGTAATTAGTTCATAGGATGATTATAAAGATATAAATGAGATGATGCAGGTAAAACTATTAGAACACTGTTCAGCATATGAGTAAGCACTTAAATATTATTTATGTTGTTATTGTTATTGGATCCCATTCTGTGGTTTCCTTCCCCTTAATTTTCTTCAGCTTCATCTCTGCTATCTTTGTATTTTTTTTTTTTTTAAATATGAAACGCTTCACAGATTTGCGTGTCATCCTTGCGCAGGGGCCATGCTAACCTTCTCTGTGCCGTTCCAATCTTAGTACGTGTGCTGCCGAAGTAAGCACTACTCTATGTATTTTAATAAGGTGCTTCAAATTCTTTTTTGGAAAGAATATAAGCCAACAACCCCATATAAATATTTATTTACTATGCCGGGCACTGTATTAGGTGCATGAAGAATATAAAAATTTAAAAAAAGGTTATTTCTGCCTTCAAGGAAATGCTCACACAATAGCTATAAACCAAGTACAGAACGTGGGAAGCCATGCCGTAGAGTTGTCCAAGTGCCATGAGGACACGAAGCAGCTAAGATCCAGAAAGGCTTCCCGGAGAAGGTGGCATGGAGCCACGCTGCCCAGGAGACAAGGATGACGGAGCAGGAATTCCAGGTGGTGCGGGCATTGGATGATCCAAGACAGACTCCAGGACTGACCTGCTGCCTACACTGCGGGTACAGTCAGTGCTCTGTCAATCCTTGGTTTTGATTATTTGATTCAAGTGGTGTGAAGACCGGTAGGAAGAGACATCAGAAAAATGCCCAAGGGCACCTTCCTTTTTAAAGGGAAGTGAAGAAAAAAACAAGAGCAGTAACAAACCCTCTGAGGTGGAGAGATAAACTTGCCTGCCAGGCCAGGAAACACAGGTGTCAAACCAGGAAGCGGCGGTTGCTTGGAGGGAGGAGGAAGTGGTCGGAGATGGAGGAGTCTTCTGCTCTGGTCTATCTGAAGCACAGAACCACGGCCCAAAGCCCCTAACCTTTCTCCTTGGGCTCAGAGATAAAACTTTCCTTTTCTTTCATGGTTGGCTTTAACCTCAGGCCTCCCAGAACCACATTTGGGCACAATCTTTTAAAATGCCCTATTATCTCTAAGCAGAGAGATCCCAGAACCACATTTGGGCACAATCTTTTAAGATGCCCTATTATCTCTAAGCAGAGAGATCCCAGAACCACATTTGGGCACAATCTTTTAAGATGCCCTATTATCTCTAAGCAGAGAGATCCCAGATAACTTCAGCTACACCCTCCCTTCCTTTGGAAGTTCTGAAGAGTGAGTCTGAACATGAGGGGCCTAACATTACAGTTAACTCCCTGCCCCAAATGTCCCTAAGAAGTGACAGTGTGGCAAGCAGAGTACAAAATTTGGAGTTGGACAGACTAGCTTTTATTTTATTTTATTTATTTTTTATTCTTACCCAAGGACATTTTTGTTAAAAGTACTGATTTTATTTATTTATTTATTTGTTTATTTAATCCTTACCGGAGGACATTTTTCCATTTTTGGTTCAGATAGAGTGGAAGGGGGAGAGAGAGAGAGAAACATCGACTTGAAAGGGACACATTGAGTGGCTGCCTCCCGCACGACCCAACCAGGACCAGGGACAAACTGCAACCAGGGTATGTGCCCTTAGCAGGAACCGAACCCCGGTCTCTCTGGACCGCTGGCTGACGCTCTAACCGCTGAGCCAAACCAGCCAGGGCCTCACCCAAGGACATTTTTGCATTTATCTCCAGATAGAGTAGGAGGGATAGAGGGAGGAAGAGAGAGAGAGAAACATCAATGTGAGAGAGAAACATTTATTGGTCGCCACCCACATGACCCCAACTGGGGCCAGAGACGAACTGCAACTGAGGTGTGTGCCCTTAGCAGAAATGGAACCCAGGACTCTCTGGTCCATGGACCGACGCTGTAATCGCTGAGCAAAACCGGCCAGGGCCAGAACTAGCTTTTAATTCTTGTTTCTGACAAAGATGCTAACCCAAGTGAGCCCCAGATTTCTCATCCATAAAATGTGGATATCTACATTGGCCTCAAAGGCTAGTTTTGGAGGATGATAGGACACCATGTACATGCATCCAGTTCTCAGCAGACACTAAGATCCTCTGTGAGCTCATCTACCCAGAAATAAATAAGCTATTGCTTACTGAGTCTGTACCATGTCAGTACTGTGCAAAGTGCTTCGTGTTCCTGCTTTACTAACGAGTAGTGGCCCATGTCCTTCAGAATGTGGCAGCAACAGGCTCTTTCTCTGCTTTCTGCCCTCGGAGACTTGATCTCCTCAAGTCAAGTGGTCAACTTCTAGAACACATTAGAAACTTCAGTATCACTAAGTATGTCAACTACCTCTGTGTTTACAGTCCAGTGATAATTTGAGGCGACCTCAGGACCTTTCTGTTTCCTAGAGCAGGGCAGGTAATATATGTTTAGATTTTACGCAAAGAGTTCACAACCTTGTTTCCCTTTCAAAATCAACCTTTCCTTCCTTCTGCTTTCTTTTTAAAAAAAATTTCTTTATTGATTTTAGAGAGAGAGGAAGGAAGAAGGAGAGAGAGATAGAAACATCGATGAGAGAGGACATTGATTGGCCGCCTCCTGCCTGCACCCCCACTGGGGATTTGGCCCACAACTCGGGCACATGCCCTGACTGGGAATTGAAAGCGGCAACCTCTTGGTACATGCTTCAATGCTCAACTACTGAGCCACACCTGCCAGGCCCTTCCTTCTGTTTCTTTCTTTTTTTTTAATCCTCACCTGAGGACACTTTTGCATTTATCTTCAGATAAAGCAGGAGGGAGAGAGGGAGGAGGAGGGAGAGAGAAACAGTGCGAGAGACACATAGTGTGGGGTTGCAACCTACACAACCTCAACCGGGGCCAGGAACAAACTGTAACCAAGGTACGTGCCCCTAGCAGGAACCAAACCCGGGACTCTCTGGTCCACAGGCCAACGCTCTAACCACTTAGCATACCAACCAGGGCTTCCTTCTGTTTCTTTAAGGCAGTGTTTCCCAAGTTGGCTGTTCACTGGAATCACCAGGGGAGGTTAAAAAAATGCTTCTTACCCTGGCCCAAGTTGCTCAGTGGTTAGAGCATCGGCCCACATACTGAAGGGTCAAGGGCGCGTACCTGGGTTGCAGGTTCAATCCTCACCCAGACTGCATGCATGAGGCAACCAATTGATGTGTCTCTCTCATATTGATGTTGCTCTCTCTCTCTCCCCCTCCTTTCCTTCCACTCTCTCCAAAAATCAATGGAAAAAATATCCTCGGTGAGGATTAAAAAGAAAGAAAGAAAGAATAAAAAATAGTCCAGCCGGTGTGGCTCAGTGGTTGAGCGTCAACCCATGCACCAAGAAGTCGCCAGTTAGATTTCCAGTCAGGACACAGGCCCAGGTTGTGAACCAAATCCTCAGTGAGGGGCATGCAGGAGGAGATCAACTGATGTCCTCTCTCATCAATGTTTTTATTTCTCTCTTCCTCTCCCTTCCTCACTCTCAAAATTAATAAAGAGCCCTGGCCGGTTTGGCTCAGTGGTTAGAGTGTTAGCTTATGGCGAAGAGAGTCCCAGGTTCAGTTTCCACTAAAGGCACATGCCTCGGTTGCAGTTTGTCCCTGGCCCTGGTTGGGGTAGTGTGGGTGGCAACCAGTTGATGTGTCTCTCTCACATTGATGTTTCTCTCTCTCTCTTCCCTGCTTTCTTCCTCCCACTCTATCTGAAAATAAATGCAAAAAAAAGTCCTTGGGTGGGAATTAAAAAAATAAAATAAAATAAATAAATAAATAAATAAGAAAAAACATGTTTTTTTTTTTTTTTTTTTTATCCTCACCCGAGGACATTTTTTTATTTTTTGTTCAGATAGAGTAGAAGGAAGAGAGAGAGAGAGAAACATCAACGTGAAAGGGACACATCGAGTGGCTGCCACCCACACGACCCAACCAGGGCCGGGGACAAACTGCAACCGAGGTACGTGCCCTTAGCGGGAACCGAACCCGGGTCTCTCTGAACCGCAGGCCGAAGCTCTAACCGCTGAGCCAAACTGGCCAGGGCAGAAAAAACATGTTTTTAAATAAAAATAAAGAATAAATGCTTAGCCCTAGCCAGTTTGGCTCAGCGATTAGAGCGTCGGCCCACGGACCAGAGAGTCCTGGGTTCAGTTCTCAATAAGGGCACGTACCTCGGTTGCGGTTTGTCCCCGGCCCTGGTTGGGGTCATGTGGGTGGCAACCAATCGATGTGTCTCTCTCACATTGATGTTTCCCTCTCTCTCTTCCTCCCTCTCTCCCTCCTACTCTATCTGAAGATTAATTCCAAAAAAAAAAAAATCAATAAAACAATAAAAAACTATGTTAAAAAAAATACATTTTCTAAGCCAAAATGAAAAGACATTTATGTATTGTTCTGCTATTTGCTTCTCCCCACCAACAATATGTCACAGATCTCTTTTATGTCAGTACACATAAAATGACCTCACACCTTTGGCAGCTGCAGAACATTTTATTGGGATGTACAATAATGCATTCGCAAACCCTTGCAGTCGGACATTTCGCTTGTTCCCAGTTTTTCACGATTTCCAACAACGTGCAGGAGGCAGATTTGCACACGTGAAAACCTTTCCATGAGATCATGAAGTGGAATTGCTTAGTCAAACAACATAACATGTAGGTACGTATTTATATGCTTATGTATTTATTTTTGTGTTTTGGTAAATGAACAAAGGAAGCCCTTTGTATTGTCACTTGGCGGGTACCTGCATGGAATCCTTGTGGCCAAAGTGGCTTCTGAGCCCTTGAAGGGAGGGATCCACTGGACCCTTTGAGTTCAAGGGCCGGCTGGGCTGACTGGAACTAGGAACCTCTCTGTGGCTGTATCTCAGCCTTTCTATCTAAAGCTGGGGGTGGCCAGGGTACCGAGTTTTCCTTCTTCTCCACGGGGTGCCTTTTGATGTGTTGGCCCGCAACCTCAGCAATTGGAAGCGCTTTGGGAGGCTATCTGCAGAGGTGGAGCAGGACAGTTCCAATCAGCCAACACTCATTTTGTTTGAAGCTAGGCCCAGTCCCCAGGGGCAGGGCCTGCAAGGGATAGGAAAGAGGAGGGTCAGGGAGCAGCAAATCCAAGCCGGGCCTGAATCTGGACAGCGCTTCTTACAGGAATAACTCGCTTTTCCTGGGCTGCCCTGCCGAATTAGCATTTGAAACAAAATGTAGGTTTCTGCAGTGGGCTGTCCCTGGGAGGGCACCGGAGCCCAGGTGGGGCCAGTCCTGAGGATTTGAAAGGTCAGCATGATGAT